ATCCCACATCGCCCAGGGGGTGATCCTTATATGTATATCCCATCCCTACCTAGCACGAGGCCTTTTGGGAGCTCACTGGCTTCGGGTTTCGTAGGAACTCCGAAGTTAAGCGAGTAGCGCGCGAGAGCATTCCCAGGATGGGTGACCCATCGGGAAGTTCTCGTGTGAGTTCCCAAAAACAAAACCGTGAGGGCGTGGTCGGGGCCCAAAGCGGACAATATCGTGCTACAGTGGTGGATCGGGCCACATTGCCCAGGGGTGATCCTTATATGTATATCCCATCCCTACCTAGCACGAGGCCTTTTGGGAGCTCACTGGCTTCGGGTTCCGTAGGAACTCCGAAGTTAAGCGAGTAGCGCGCGAGAGCATTCCCAGGATGGGTGACCCATCGGGAAGTTCTCGTGTGAGTTCCCAAAAACAAAACCGTGAAGGCGTGGTCGGGGCCCAAAGTGGACAATATCGTGCTACGGTGGTGGATCGGGCCCGGGAAGTGGTGCCCCCGGGCCGGGATGTGACAATTTGGTATCAGAGCCTAACCCTGGTCGCGTGTGTGCCGACGAGGATGTCGGGCCCCTAAGGGGGGTGGATTGTGACATCCCACATCGCCCAGGGGGTGATCCTTATATGTATATTCTCATCTCTACCTAGCACGAGGCCTTTTGGGAGCTCACTGGCTTCGGGTTCCGTGGGAACTCCGAAGTTAAGTGAGTAGCGCGCGAGAGCATTCCCAGGATGGGTGACCCATCGGGAAGTTCTCGTGTGAGTTCCCAAAAACAAAAACCGTGAGGGCGTAGTCGGGGCCCAAAGCGGACAATATCGTGCTACGGTAGTGGAGCGGGCCCGGGTTGTGATGGGGGCCCGGGCCGGATGTGACAATTTGGTATCAGAGCCTAACCCTGGTCGCGTGTGTGCCGACGAGGACGTCGGGCCCCTAAAGGGGGTGGATTGTGACATCCCACATCGCCCAGGGGTGATCCTTATATGTATATCCCATCCCTACCTAGCACGAGGCCTTTTGGGAGCTCACTGGCTTCGGGTTTCGTAGGAACTCCGAAGTTAAGCGAGTAGCGCGCGAGAGCATTCCCAGGATGGGTGACCCATCGGGAAGTTCTCGTGTGAGTTCCCAAAAACAAAACCGTGAGGGCGTGGTCGGGGCCCAAAGCGAACAATATCGTGCTACAGTGGTGGATCGGGCCCGGGAAGTGGTGCCCCCGGGCCGGGATGTGACATAAACCGAGGCATCCAATTTCAAATTGCGTGTCGTATCAAAAGGTAACTCCATCTCATGCTGCCTTTCTTAACAACATTTCAAGTCACAGTGAGCCTCAAAACTTTTATGAGGCTAATAATCAAGTTGTGTGGAAAGAAGCAATGAGAGATGAACTCAAAGCACTAGACCAACACAAAACCTGGAGCATCACCAAACTTCCACAAGGAAAAAAGGCAGTGGGCTGTAAGTGGATCTATAAGATCAAGTTTAATTCTGATGGTTCGATTGAGAGGCATAAAGCCAGGCTGGTGGCTCGAGGATTCACTCAAACATTTGAGGTGGATTACAAGGAAACATTTGCTCCTGTTGCAAAAATGAACTCAGTAAGGGTTCTATTGTCTGTTGCCGTCAATAAAGGTTGGTCTATGTATCAAATGGACGTGAAGAACGCCTTTCTACATGGTGATCTTGAAGAAGAAGTCTATATGAGATTGCCACCAGGACACCCTCAAAGCCAAGAGCCTAATTTGGTGTGTAAGTTACATAAGTCAATTTATGGACTGAAGCAATCACCACATGCTTGGTATGCAAAACTAAGTACCGTTCTTCATAGCATTGGTTTCAAAAGGAGTAATGCAAATTCATCATTATTTGTTCGCACAAGAGCTGCAAGCAAATTAGTTGTGTTGATATATGTGGATGACTTAATAATTACAGGTGATAATGCTGCTGAAATCACCACACTCAAACAGTCACTTCAACAACAATTTGCGGTTAAAGATCTTGGGGTGTTGAAGTATTTTCTTGGAATCGAAATGGCATCTTCTTACAAGGGACTATTTCTTAATCAACGAAAGTACGTCATGGACCTACTTAAAGATGCCAATATGAGTGATGCCAAGCCTGCACTTACCCCTCTTGATAGCAAGCTCAAGCTTGACTTGGGAGGCACGCCACTCTCGGATATCAGCTTATATCAGAGGCTTGTCGGCAAGCTGATCTACCTAACGATCACCAGACCAGACATCTCACATTCAGTAAGTATTGCCAGTCAGTTCATGCACTCTCCCACCATCGAGCATCTGAACCTTGTCAAAAGAATCTTACGTTACTTAAAAGGGTCTGTTGGTCGTGGCATCCTCATGGCAAAGAATGACAACACTCAAATCATGGGGTACTGTGATGCTGATTGGGCAGGAAACGCAATCGATCGCAAGTCCACCACTGGTTATTGTACCTTTGTTGGTGAAAACCTGGTCACGTGGAAGAGCAAGAAACAAACTGTCATCGCAAGATCAAGTGCCGAAGCTGAATATCGTGCAATGGCCTCAACCGCGTGTGAGCTGATATGGCTAAAAGGACTTTTATGTGACTTAGGTGTGTTCACAGCAAAACCAATGACCTTATTTTGTGACAACCAGGCTGCCGTGCACATAGCATCAAACCCCGTCTTTCACGAGAGGACGAAGCATATTGAAGTCGACTGTCACTATGTCCGTGAACAAGTACAGTCGCAGGTGATTCAGACACATTATGTAAAAAGCTTCGATCAGCTGGCTGATATATTCACCAATCCTCTGGCTTCTCATCAGTTTCAAAGACTCATCTCCAAGCTTGGATCCATCAACCTACTGGATCCAGCTTGAGGGGGAGTATTGGAAGAAGGACAGCACGGCAAGCAGAAAGCACGGCAAGCTGTATGTACAGACAGCACAGCAAGCATACAGCACGGCAAGCATGGGTAAAGGAAAGACAGCAAGGGTGTGCACTCTGGAAAGGAATGTGCATGTGATTGCTGACTCATGGACAGCAGGGAAAGGAATGTGCATGTGCATGTGTGCTGTTGCATCCGATTACAAGGGTGTAAAGCTTTCAGCTTTCTTTTTTGTATTGTGTATAAGTATGCCTTCCCATAAGGCTTTCTATGATATGAAATATATTACAATTCAAATCAGAAAAATCAATACCATTTCAATTGGTTTCTTACCAAAGGTGGCATTGTTGAAGCCTGTTTCGTTGGTGGCATTGGAGTCGAGGGCGGAGAGGAGGTTGTTTAGATTGGACTGGAATTCGTAACTGTCCCAGTGATCATAGGTGGCGTGGCAGCTACTGAAAGTGCGTATATTTGGATCACTGCCACTGGTCAAACTGACCAAGCTAAGCATGCATACGGAGATCACAAACATTCGACGGATGAAGATCATCGGCATATTTATATCGTAATCCGAAAAATGAAAAAGCGCATTGCTGTCAAATTTTTGACGATCGTACTCCATTGAAATCCTTAGGAATGATCGAATACCATAGACGTCTTATTACTGTATAGATGTAGATTATATAATCTGTATAAATATATAGATTTATATCATCATCATTAATAATCTAACAAGGGACGTAAGCTGAGGTGACAAGATGGTGATTAATTAGTATAATCATCTCATTTGAGAGCAGCTAGTCAAATTCAACGACCGGCCTTATTGCCTTCACTCGGTCTTGAAAAGTATCTCGCCGGTCATTAAAAACAGAAAGAAATGAACACAGTCAAAAATTATTAAATAATACCCATAATTTATGAGATTAAAAATATTAAAGATGAATTATATTCTCTAATATATTTTGCATGTGTGTGTATTGTGGGGAGTTCATCAAAACTAACCAAAAAATTGTTGTAACAAAACATGGTTACGTTTTTCAAAAAAAAAAAAAAAAAAAAGGATATGATGTTTAATAACATTATTAAATTTCTTCAATTAAACTTGACATGGATACATTCTCAAATCATTGAAATAGAATGTACCCATATAAGTATAAAAAAATGAATTAGAGAAAAGATTGAATGAATTTTATATAAAAAAAAAATGGGTACATTTTATATTAAAAAAAAAAAGATGCATTTTTCATATAACAAATTGGTATATTTAAGAATGGGTACATATATGATTAAAAAATTCATAAAAAATTAATGGGTACAAACTTATTCTAATTTTATTTTTATATTTTGGAAAATGTTTTGAATTGAAAATTAATTAGGAGTTTAATAAGGATGTGAGTGTTAAAACTCTAAATCAATTACTAATTTTTATTATAAAAATGATGTAACTTACATGTAATTCATTAATATATTAATGTTAGGAATTTTGATTAAAATCTAAAAACTCATTAGAAACTAGAGACTGGATACTAATTTTTTCTACATATATATATATATATATTATATTACTTTAGTCTATAAAGTAAGGATACCAATTGCACCTTCCAAATGAACAATGTTGTGGTGAATTTCACTATATTTACGAAGCTGCCACTGTCTCCGTCTGCCGCTGATATTGATGCTCGCGTGTTGATAATCGTGGAAAGGCAGGGGTGCGATGGTCATTTTCGAGAGACTTTCATTTCCTTTCTTTCTGAGCTGCAGTGGGACTCGGTGATACCATGCCTCGAAAGCAGGGAGACGGGATAGAGAGGCCGCTGATACAGACGACATGTAAATCGGAGCCGGTGAGAACGGCGGCGGAGAAGCTCAGCTCGACCCAGAGTTAGGTTTCTGAAAAACGAGAAAGGTTTCTGTAACATGCTCTTCTTCTTCCTCTTCACCTTCTGGTGCTTCTTTCCCTCCAACTTTGCAAGGGTTTTTTTTTTTTTTTAAATGTTAATTGTTTGGTTGGTTTGTTGGGATATTTTCATATTATTTTGATATGGATTGTTGATTTTGCTTTTCTTGCATTTTAGTTTGATTAATATTGTGAATCAATGAGTAATTTCCATTGGGACAATAAGAACAAAGAGTAATTTAATTCTCAGTACCCAGATTCTGAGACAACAGGTTTCCAGAAACATCAAAATGCCCTAGATTTATCAATTGTCCGACTTCCATGGGAAGAAAGCCAGTCAAATGATTTCGAGATAAATCCAAATGAACATACGAAGAAGACAGACGAATTAATTCTGGGGATATGATGCCAGTGAAATTGTTACCACCTAGAGTTAAGTTCACCAAATTGGGACACTGAGACAAAGTTGAAGGGATGGTGCCCTGAAGGTTGTTATCCTCGAGATGCAGATGAGTTAGTCGACTTAAATTTCCAAAAGATGATGGAAGATTCCCAGTGAGAGAGTTGGTTTCCATATATACTTCATATAATTTGGGAAGCCTTCCTATTTCAGGGGGGATGAGACCTGAAAACTGGTTGCCAGACAGCCATATGCTTTCCAGGTTATGCAGATTCTCCATCGCATTCGGGATATTACCAAATATACTATTATAGCCTACGTAGAAGTATACAAGTGAATAAGACAGGTTGGCCACGCATTGAGGCAACGTACCACCAAAGTTGTTTGAATTAATTTCCAAGTATTGTAAACCGGTGGCATTAGTCAGATCGCAAAGAAAGCTCAAATCATCACCAGTTCCCCCACTTCCAAGATGGTTCGAAGCAATAGTAAACCGCCCAAGATTGTGTAAGTTTTTCAAAGAGGGGACTTCTCCGCGCAGTTGGTTTTTGTGTATTGCTAGTTCAAACAGATTTGAGGCATTAGATATTGAAACAGGTATAATTCCACTAAACTGGTTATAACTGATGGCAAATGTTTGGAGACTTGGACAGGAATTGCCCAAGTTTGAAGGAAAAGTGCCTTGGAGGTTGTAATTAAGTCCCACAGCAAAGGTTTCAAGAGAAGAGACATTGAAAACTGAGGAAGGGATCGTACCAGACAAGTCATTTCCATCCAATGCAAGAAAATTAAAATTGGTCAGTCGACCAAAGATATCTGGAATTATGCCACCTAAATTATTACTAGATGCACTAAATATGTTAAGATATGATAAGTTGGCAAAAGAGAAAGGGATGACAACCTTCAAAGTTGTATACTTCTACGTAGGCTATAATAGTACCCCCAAAGTTGTTTGAATTAATTTCCAAGTACTATTATAGCGTACGTAGGCTATAATAGTACCCCCAACGTACGCTATATACGTTGGCCACGCATTGAGGCAACGTACCCCCAAAGTTGTTTGAATCAATTTCCAAGCTTTGTAAACCGGTGGCATTAGTCAAATCGCAAAGAAAGCTCAAATCACTTCCAAGATGGTTCGAACCAATAACAAACCACCAAAGCTTGTGTAAATTTTTCAAAGAGGGGATTTCTCCATGCAGTTGGTTTTCGCCTATTTGTAGCGTAAACAGATTTGAGGCATTAGATATTGAAACAGGTATTGTTCCACTACAAATAGGCGACCGCAGGTAACACGGTGTTTCAAAGATGGCAAAAAATTGGAGTCTTGGACAGGAATTGCCCAAGTTTGAAGGAAAAATGCCTTTGAGTTTATTAAATCCCACATCAAAGGTTTCAAGAGAAGAGACATTGAAAATTGAGGGAGGGATCGTACCAGACAAGTCATTTTCATCCAATCCAAGAAAATAAAAATTGGTCAGTCGACCAAAGATATCTGGAATTATGCCACTTAAACTATTTGAAATTGCATTAAACGCTTCAAGAGATGATATGTTGCAAAAAGAGCAAGGGATACTTCCTGAATGGTGGTTGTATTCAATAACGAATTCTTTTAGCTTTGACAAGGTGCCAAGCTCCTTTGGGATACTACCTTCCAACAAATTGCGGCCAATATAAATCTAGTTGAGTTCAGTGCAACTTGATAAATTAGCAGGAATTTCCCCACTCAGTGAATTGTTCTGCAATGCCAAAAGTTGCAGCCTGCGCAGACCAATTTCTGGTGGGATTTCATGGCTGAAGCTCTCGTTTACGAGATTAAACACTTTGAGGAAACTCAAATTTCCAACATGTGGCGATATAGAGCCTCCAAGCTTCAAGGACCTCAGCATCAACTTTGTGACCCTCATATGGCGGTGACCGCAGGTAACACCGTGCCATTGGCAAAAGTGGATGGTTTCGTTCCACGAACTCATGACTCCAAAAGGGTCTGTAGTTATCCTAGCCTTGAATTTGAGCAACGCTAGTTTATCTGTCTCGTTTGATCCGGTGAGGGCTAAACTAAGACATGAGTTAAGAACAATTGCATGCATGCACAAATATGAGAAGAAGGGAAGTGGTGAAATGAACTTGTAATTCCCCATGGTATCAATTTTGTGTGAAACTTTGGTTTGGTTAACCTACGGTTGTCTGGCAGCTTCAGCAGAACCCAATTTATAAGAATTCTTGTGGCATAAATATAGAGAGGTGATTCACTCTTTATTTATAGCCATTAGATTGAATAAATCAAATGAAAACAATATACATGATTAAACAGGATGTTTGTGAGGCTAAAAAGGTGCCTAAATATATATAGACTACTGGCTAACAAAGCAATAATCGAATTCCTAGACTCAAATAGTTGACTAGAGTAGAGTTAAGATGGATCTCAACATCTTTCATAATCCTAACAGTTTTCTTCGCCCCCTTTCTCACGGCAGAATCTTGCATATTAGTGGGGCATAGATTCGTACGGAAATCGTCTTTATTTAGATGGTCTGACATGTTATATGTTATGTATGCACTCTTTCATTGATATGTGGTCCAAATTGATAGTATTTCAACAAAACAGTACTTGTCTATTCATTCTATTCAAATGAATTTGCTTTGGCATAAGAACTCTCTTTTAGCTTTCGCCGTCTTGTTTCGGAAGAAATCTACCACACACATTACTTGTTTTGTATCTAGTTCTAGTTTCAGCTGTGGAAGAAATCTACGCCACTAGACTTTGCAATTTGCATCAAATGGCCAAGCAGTTTCGGAAAAGAATCTTGTACCTAGTTTTGTATCTTAGTTCCAACTTACAAAAGTTGGAAACTTTGCTATTGTTTGTAATCATCCAGCGCAATGCGTGGTGAAAAACGAATCTGGCTTCTCTCCATATCTACTCTATCCTAATCTTAACCCATCCTTATACTAAGATCAAGCCAATGTCGGCAAAATAAAATCCGATTGCTCTTGATCACTTTGGTTAAATAACTCTCGGCTCGCTCTTTGTCTGAGTTCTAACCTACAAGGAAAAGGAACATAAATTAAACCTTTTGTATCATGGTTTTCCCCTATCCCTTGAATCTAATCCTGTTGCTCTGATATTTCATAGGTAAGACCTTGCAGGAGTCAAGACCAAATTCGTTTTGCTTTTGGATTCCAATTACTACAATTTTTCCATGTTCCGAGTGTAAGCAAAAACAGAATGAATCGGCATTGAAGAAACCTAACTATCGTATGGAGAACCTAATAGCATCATCGTTTAGAGTTCCAATGGCTGCACTATGCCCGGTTTTACCTCTTTTCCTTTCTTAATTTCAGAGGTTGTCACCACAAATAATTGCTTTGAAGAGGAAAAATATTTATAAACTACTATGAAGTAACCATAGGATGTACATAAATGGTTGAGATTAAAAGGTTACATAAGATTAGGAGAAATGCCAAATCTGCTGGAAATTATTTTATTTTATTTTTTTGGTCAAGAAATCTGCTGGAAAATAGTATCAAAAGAAGTTTGCAGTTTTTGTGTACGCATTTAAGTTTCCAGTCTGCTACATAGTTCTGCTATTATACCAAAAGTTCTCACTACTTCAGTTGAAAATATGTCTGCTTTTTCTTCATGTTTCATTTTTTTTTTTTAAATAAAAGGTAGAATCGAAAGAAAGAATGAGGCAAGAAACATCTTTTAAGGATTCTTAGCTATAATTCATTTTATTGAGAGACTTTTAGTTGTTTAGATAGTTTATGACAAGGCTAAAGACAAGAAGCATTGTAGTTTTAATTGGGTTGGTCAGAAAACTGAGAAGGAAACAAAGCGAGAATCCAAGGCACGCTCTTCTTAATGGAAATAGTGAACGCAGGATGCATTAACATAAAAGAAGAAAACTAATACACAGTAGTAACATTATCATTCAAATTTTTGCATAAATCACTACCAGAATCAAATAATCTACCTTCTAGCTTAACAAAGCTCAATTATATTTCTGAGTTTTGGAAGAAAAACAAATGTTCTAGCTACGTTACATTCTGATCGTTTAGTAGGTACTGACCTGGAGTTTCACCTCTAGCAATTTGAATTACCCTGAGAAATGACCGCAGCTGAGCATGACATGATTATAGGTCGAAAAGGCACCTCAACACACGACTACACTTTTGGCCTTCAAATTTTCGTTCAACATTTATGAACTGAAAGTCATAGGTTGAACAACAGTTGAATTGAAGTGTACAAATTCTTATCAAGGTCAGTCATCCTTGCTGCGCACCATGGATGCCTTCTGGTACTTCATTTTCTCAATCTCCTTGCCCAGAAAATCTAAAGTCGTGTCAGTAACATGGTTTGGGGTGCAACCTGCATCGAGCATCATTTTCAAAAACTTATATCCATCTTTTAGCCAACCTGCTTTGCTATGAACTTCAAAAAGTGTATTAAAATTGACAACATCAGGATTTATATCACTACTCTTCATCTGCTCAAAGAGCTTGTTTACTTCATCAATCCTGCTAGCCTTCCCTAGTGCATTAATCAAGGTGTTGTACATAATCACGTCAAGATAACCACCCTGCTTAATTAGTTTATCCGGGACAGAACTTGCCAGATCCGCTCGACCCATCTTCCCCATGCCTCATTGAAGTAGCCCTTCTTGACGAACAAACTCATCATGGAATTATGAGTATAACTCACGGGGTTTTCACCAAGGTCACTGAAAATCTCAAACAATTTGCATGGCATGCTCAGCTTTCCCTTGGCCAAGAATAAGGACAAAAAAGTATTAACCATGTCAAAATCAAAAGTGCTTTCCCCTTTAGCTTGAACTCTTTGCCCCCTGGACAATGAAAACAGCTGCGAGGAGTGGTCGGTGGACTTAAGTTGATTAGCCAATTGATCCATATGTGGAGATGATGACCACTGATCAGTATCGGTGGACAAATTCTTATCATCTTCTTTAACCCTGGCAGCCTCTGAATCTAGGTCTGCATCCATTGTTGATTCAGCAGACTTTATTAAACTCATAATCTCGCTCAAGTCGCCTTTACTTGGGAACAATGGTGTATAGTCCTTTCTATTTGGATTTTTCAGTGAAGCCTCCATATCAACCTTCCATTTAAGAACCCTTGGCCCTAGGTTACCATCTCTAATGTGCTTCATGAGCTTCTCCGTCCAATCCCACCGTCCTTCTTTATACAGCGCAATCACAAGTGACGAAATAGTAACTAAATCGACAGTAAAGCCTCTCCTTTCCATTTCTTCCACCAATCCTAGTGCTTCCTCAAGCACGCCCTCCTTACAAAGTTGCAAAACCACAATGCTATATGTTACACCATCGACAAACTGACCCTTCTTCTTTAAGTCACAAAATAGTGTGTATGCAGCCTCTGCCCTTCCATTCCTGAACAAACCATCAATGAGAATATTATACGTCCAAGTCGAGGCTCTCACCCCATTCTGAACCATTTTCTCAAATAACTGGCAGCCATCATTAACCTTCCTGGCCTTGAATAACCCATCTAGTAGAGAATTATAAACAATGGTATCAGGGATATATCCATTGAGCTGCATTTCACTAAAAATCTTAGTGGCATCGTCTATTCGATAAACCTACAACACCCCTGAATAAGAATTCTATAGGTAATTGCGTCCACATCGTGGCCAGAGCCCTTCAATTCCTCCCATACAGTAAGTGCATCATTCAACTTCCCCACCAAGCAGAGCACATGAATGAGGCTATTATATGTGGACAAATCCGGGCCGACGCAATCCAAGTTAGAGTCTTTCATCTCTCTGAACAGACTCAGACTAGTACCCAAATCACCCCAACACCCAAATGCATGAATGCAAATATTATACCCCCAATTATCCATCTCAAACCCCTCACTCTCTCTAAGCTTATCAAAAACTTGCTTAAACTCAACCCTCATGTCAGATTTTCTAAGAGCAACCAGCAACTCATTGCAGGCAATCGAATTCGGCACCTGGGAAGAATCCCCTCCCTCCAGAAGCTTAAGCAAAATGGCCATGGCCAAACCCACCTGGTTTTTCCTAACCAGAGCAACAAGAAGCCAGTTATACACTTATACATATCGGTGTTCAACCCAGCACCAACATCTTCCATAATATCCAAAATTTCAAGCGCGTAATTGAACTTACCGAACCGGATAAACGCGTCGAGCAGGGCTTTGAAAGTCTGGGAATTGACCACGACGCCGTCCTCCTTCATGGAGTGAAGCAATTGAGGGACCTCGTGAAGGAATCCGGGGCGGTAGGCGGTGCGGAGGATGTGGGAGTAGGTGCGCGCCGAGTGTTTGATGTTATGCGTGAGAGAGCACCATTTGAAGAAGTTGACCTTTTTTTAGGGGTGGAGGGACTGGGCGCGGAGGATTTGGAAGAGGAGGGCCTCGGAGAGCGGGAGGGTGTGGGGGTCCGGGAGGCTGCGGGTGCCGAAGGTTGAGAGGGTCTTGGATGGTGATGGTGGCCACCAGGACCAGCTGGGAAGCGCCGTGGTGGCGGTGGTCTTTGACCAGGAAAGTGGCGCATTACATTTCCAAAAGCATACATATCAAGTTATCAACTGAGAGAAGATGCAGAAACTAGATTAGATTAATGTCTGCTTTGTAGATTCTGAAAAAAACTGGTATCAAAAAAGTTGTGAGCTATTTTTGTGTTTGGTTAACACTAAGATTCAACTTTTTTTTAGTTTTGGATGAAAAAAAGATAAAAACAAGAAGCTCCAAAACACAACTTTGAAAAATTGATTTTTTTTTTCACATCTGTTTTATATAAAAGTTTACTAAACATTATAATATTGCTTTTTTTTTTTTTTCAAAAGCACTTTTAGAAAAAAAAAGTTTATCAAATACTCTGCTGCTTTATTTCACAGCTGCTTATTCTCACAACACAGCAACATCAGTTTTTTTTTTCAAAGTACAGCAATACCAAACCAGGCCTAACTGTTTGAGAGGCTTTTCTTGGAGCTGGGCTTGCACTTGGTTGGACACTCCTTTTCTTGTTGTCAGCCAGGCCCAGATTGTTTTTTGGGCCTCTCCTTACATTTCACCCAAAATAATCCTGAAGAGATGTTTATTTATATTTACGTACCATTTAATTCATTTCATTGCTAGTAAATACGTGAATATGAATGATATTCGTTCTTTGTAAATGAAGTTAATCCCAACAGTGTGGAAGGGTACAATGATGAGTTAGGACCAAAACATGTCAAGGGTTCTGATCCATATCTTACTAACAAAAAAATTCAATGGAGCTAAACTACACCGGTTAATGCTTCAATGGTACGTAAAAGAGTGATAGTGGGTTGAGCTCTAAACTCGAACATTATTAAACCATCTTATGTGTTACCTTCTCAACAAAATTGAAGAAAACCACTAGACATGTACTTTCCAAAAGGAAAGGTGCGGTACCCCATTGCAAACTACGTCTCCACTCAACGACACTCACCAAAATATTGTGCATTGGTTCAGCAGATGGAAACCATCAAAATACCTACCAAAGTGGAAGAAGCCTTGAAGGATCCGAAATGGACAGAGGCAATGCAAGTTGAAATGGAAGCATTACAGAAGAATAATACATGGAGTGTGGTTTCACTCCCTAAAGGAAAGAAATCAATGGAATACAAGTGGGTGTTCACTATTAAGCATAAGGCAGATGGAAAGGCGAGGTTAGTTGCCGGTTTACCCAAACATTTGGGGAAGATTATCAGGAGACGTTTGCTCCTGTTACAAAAATGAATACCATTAGAGTTTTATTGTCTCTTATTGCTAAGTTTGACTGGCCTTTGAGACAGTTTGATGTTAAAAATGCTTTTCTGCATGGAGATTTAGAAGAATAAGTGTACATGGATATTCCACCAGGTTATGGCACTGCGAACTCTAGTGGGAAAATATGTAGAATGCACTGTATGGCCTTAATCAGTCACCCAGAGCGTGGTTTGGGCAGTTCACCCGGACGATGAAGAAATATGGGTATTGACAGGGAAACTCAGACCATACTTTGTTCATCAAGCGCAAGGTGTGAACACGAAAGATTCCTGAAACAAGAGACAAGAATACGTGTACAAAATAATATTTTTTGTTTAATTGATTTTGGGGTTACGATCTCTTTTTATTTTGATCCTCTGATTCTATCTCCGTAAGATGTAGATTTGTTGATCCAAGGGTCGTCGAGGCTTGATCTTGGATGAACAGTTGTAAGTTTCTTCAAGGGCCTTCGTGGCTTTGATCTTGAAGGTTGATGGAAGTTTCTTCAAGGGCCTTCGGGGCTTGATCTTGAAGGTTGATGGATGAGCGGATCTTCAAGGGCTTTTGGGCTTGATCTTGAAGAACGGTTGGTTTTCTTCAAGGGCCGTCGAGGCTTGATCTTGAATGAACAGTTGGTTTTCTTCAAGGGGGCTTTTGGGCTTGATCTTGAATAATGGTTGTGTGGACTTCTTCAAGGGCTTTTGGGCTTGATCTTGAAGGTTGATGGATGAGCGGATCTTCAAGAGCTTTTGGGCTTGATCTTGAAGAACGGTTGGATGTGTGGATTTGTTGATGTTGTTGATCCAAAGGGCCGTTGGAGCTTGATCTTAGGATGAACGGATGATGAATGATGAACACTTTCTTCAAGGGCCGTCGGGGCTTGATCTTGAGTTGGTGAAAGTTCTTCAAGGGCCGTTGGGGCTTGATCTTAAAGGAGGATTTGACGAAGAACGAAGAGTGCTTTCTTGATCCTTCAGGATTTTCTTGAGAGCTTTAGAACTTTAAGGCTTCAAGGTTTTGGTGTGTGTCTGTTTGTTGATGTTGTTGATCCAAAGGGCCGTTGGGGCTTGATCTTAGGATGAACGGATGATGAACAATGAACACTTTCTTCAAGGGCCGTTGGGGCTTGATCTTGAAGGAGGATTTGACGAAGAATGAAGAGTGCTTTCTTGATCCTTCGGGATTTTCTTGAGAGCTTTAGAACTTTAAGGCTTCAAGGTTTTGGTGTGTTCTATTTCTCTTGATGGAGAAGCCTATTTATAGGCTTTGAGAGTGAATTACCACCACAAAATTTTCCCACCCAAGCACTATTACCTAATTTTCCCACTTAATGCAATATTGAAATTGAAGTGGTCTAACAAATGGCCTAATTTTCCACTTAATGCAATATTGAAATTGAAGTGGTCTTATTTATGGCCTAATTTCCCACTTAATACAATTTTAAACTTGAAATGTGTTTGCTTTGTCATTGCCCAAATGAGAAAAACTTGCTTTGATCCGTAATGGATTGAAATGTACTTACCTTGTCATTGCCCAAATTGAGAAGAAAAACTTGTTTAATCATCCAAGGGTATTTCTTCCTATTTTGTTGAGTCACATGCCATGTGTACAATTTGTACGACACGTGGCGTATGCCATGTATGCCCTGACACGTCAAAACTTTAATACGTTGGTGAACATTTGTTTCACCGAAATTTCGATGTCTACACAAGGATTGTCACGAAAAGGATTGCACAGGTGATGATACAATGGAAATCGAACGTTTACAAAGGAACTTGTATTCTGAGTTTGAGATGAAAGATCTTGGGGAACTTAAATACTTCCTGGGAATTGAAGTGGCTAGATCTCAAGAAGGAATATATTTATCTCTGCGAAAGTATATATTGGATCTTTTGTCTGAAACTGGTATGCTAGAGTGTAAACCAATGGATACACCTATTTTGCAGAATCATCATCTGGCAATTTATCAGGATCAAGTCCCAACGAATAGGGAAAGGTATCAAAGGTTGGTAGGGCGGTTGATTTATTTATCGCTCACAAGGCCAAATATTGCTTACGCAGTAAGTGTGGTGAGCCAGTTTATGCATGCTCCTAGTGAGGATCACATGGTAGCAGAAATGCGGATTCTGAGTTACTTAAAGGGAGCTCCAAGAAAAGGATTGACGTACAGAAAGCATGGGCTTATTGACACGCCCAGACCCCGATATTCCCCGAATACCAGGATAGGCACGTGCTGGCCGACACCCGAGGGTGACGAAAGCCATTTATTGAGTGCAAATGCTGAAAACAAGGGATAAATAAGGTTTATAAATATAAAAGAATAATGAATATGCAAATAAGGACCGTGTTCAGAGCACACCACTAATCTAGAACACTAAAAGAAAATAATATAAAATTGAATGAAACGAAGGAGTGGGTCCTACACCGAGAGGGCTCGACGATGCAGATGCGAAAGTGCCTGGACGTCGGGATTGTATGCCTCGATTCTAAGTCCTGAAGGGGGTGCAAAACAAACATGAGTGGACCAAGTTGATATATATATAATAAAACAGTTATCAACATACTAACCCCCAGATTTTATGAAAACACTTATATATGATGATAAACATAGGTTTTCCGAAACCTAGCATGTCGTGCAATATCTCAAATCATAATTCGCATAAATAATAAACACTAGTGAATGTCCGATATAACTCTTCAGGCCCCATGCCGGCTCCCCGTCTCTGAGCACACAGTCAGAGGAAAATACACTTCAGGCCCCGTGCCGGCTCCCCGTCTCTGAGCAGACAGTCAGAGGAAAACACACTC